CCGTGGACAGGGTCGCTGTCTCCTTGCCAGCTGAACCGCCAGGCCAGACGTGTCGAGGCGGCGTGCTGCTGGGTGCCGCTCTGCAGCTTGTCCTTGCCGTGTGCTTTGATCGTCTGGCAGCTGTCCTCTGCGCGGATGTCGCCCTCGTTCTTCCCGTTCGGGAGCTTGCACTTGTTCTCCGGACCGCCAAAACCGACCATGTCGATGTCGAACCCGCACTTGTTCTCCACGATGATGTTGTTGATGTGCAGGCAAGTGCTTCCCACGTCTTTGTCGACGCACTGATTCGGCTTGAACCAGCGCCCGGGGTGCTCTTGGTTGTACGCGGGATCGGACGTGCACTCGCACTGCTGGCCCTGGCACTCTTTGTACTGCGCGCAGTCGCTCGTCGTGTCGCAGGTATGGTACACGGAAGCCGCCTCTTTCACGGGCAACGCGCTTGCGACCCCAGCGGCGGCGATCATCACGACCTTTGAGAATGTCGCCATGGTGGTTGACTTCCTGACGCGGTGAGGCGCGGGGACGCGGTGAGGCGCGCTCTCGGCCTGGCGCGGCGCGACGGGCGGAGCGGGCAGCGCACGAGTGTGAGGTGAACTGACTCGTGGTTTGCTTCTGTCTGTCTGAGTCCTGCAAGGTTTGCTTCTGAGACTGAGTCCTGCAAGGAAATCGGCGGCAATGATGTTCGTTTTACCGATAGTCGGGTTGCTTCCTTGAGTGGTCGGTGCTCTTATATTGAGGGTTTTCGCCGTACGCGGGGAGGCCGGATCCCCATAAGACCCCCCCCAAACACAGAAAACACACGGCGGCGCAGGGGTGGACGGTGGGATGCGCGCTGAGATGAGTGCCGTGAGGCGCGGGGATGACGGTAAAGTGCCAAGACGGCGCCCTTGGCGTAGTTTGTTGAATTCCGCTTACCCAGCGTAATTCGTGATTTCCGCACCTCTTCGGCAGCGCTCGCACGCCCTCGCGTCAAAACACCATCATGTCGCCCTTTCGGGTGACAGCAAGCAGTTTTACCGATAGTCGGGTTGCTTCCTTGAGTGGTCGGTGCTCTTATATTGAGGGTTTTCGCCGTACGCGGGGAGGCCGGATCCCCATAAGACCCTTCGAGGCCGGTCGCGTCCGGTATTATGTGAAGCCCTTTGAGGACGCCATTGGAAGTAGGTCCTGTTGCGCCCAGTTACCGCGTTTGCCACGGGTCCACTGCTCCACCGCCCTGTCCCTGGCGGTAGCAGTTTCCGTTGTGTTCCTGCATGTGAGGTTTCCTGCCGATTCCCGGCCGCAGGAATGATTCCTCTGGTTGCCGCCCCAGGCCATCGCCATAGCGATCCAGTCGGCCCTGCTGCTTTCCAGCATCAGGTGTTTATGTTGCCGCCTCAGGCCCATCGCCGTAGCGATCCTGTCGGCTCTGCTGCTCCCCGGCTAGCAGGTAGCCCTGCTGCTCCCCGACAGCAGCAATGGTGAAGCTCCTCTGGTTGCCGCCACAGGCACATCGCCAAGCGATCCTGTCGGCCCCGCTGCCCCTAGGCCCCACAGGTGAGGTTCTCCTGCGCTGTCCCCCGACCCGGCGCCCTGTCGGGCCCGCCGGCCGCCGGTTCAGCGCCCCACCCGCCCGGCCGGCCCCCTTATCGGGCCTGCCAGCCGCTGGTCGAGCGCCTGCGCTGTCCCCCGACCCGGCGCCCTGTCGGGCCCGCCGGCCGCCGGTTCAGCGCCCCACCCGCCCGGCTGGCCCCCTTATCGGGCCTGCCAGCCGCTGGTCGAGCGCTTGCGCTGCCCCCCGGCCCGACGCCCTCATAGGGCCCGCCGGCCGCCGGTTGAGCGCATATCCCGCGAGACGTCCCCGCGTTCTCGCCTGCGCTGTCTCTCGGCCCGGCGCCCTTGTCGGGCCCGCCGGCCGCCGGTTGAGCGCCCCGCCCGCCCGGCTGGCCCCTTCCTCGGCTGGCCCCTTCCTCGGGCCTGCCAGCCGCTGGTCGAGCGCCTGCGCTGTCCTCCGGCCCGACGCCCTTATAGGGCCCGCCGGCCGCCGGTTCAGCGCCCCGCCCGCCCGGCTGGCCCCCTCCTCGGGCCTGCCAGCCGCTGGTCGAGCGCCTGCGCTGTCCCCCGGCCCGACGCCCTCATAGGGCCCGCCGGCCGCCGGTTGAGCGCATATCCCGCGAGACGTCCCCGCATTCTCGCCTGCGCTGTCCCCCGGCCCGGCGCCCTTGTCGGGCCCGCCGGCCGCCGGTTGAGCGCCTAAGAGGATCTCCAGCCAAGGTGTGATTTTCCGGTCCTCACCCCAGGCTCATTACCTCAACCAGATACAAATTCCGATATTGATACTCGTACACCACGCGTGCAGACATGCGTTTTGGTGACATCGGACAATGACTGGCTTCGCATCACCGCGTTCCAAAAGCTCTATCGACGCCGGACCGCCCTGCTGCCTTCCAGGCCCAGCAGATTGTCCCTAGTCACCGAGCAGCCTTTGCCCGCTCTCGCTCGAGCGCTTCCTTGAGCGATTCGTGAAGCGATTGGCGTTTGCGTTTGCGACCTTCACCAGCCCTTTCGAGTTGGGAGAGGAACTTGTCCTGGAGGCGCCACCCGGCTTTGTCGACCGCCTCCTCCAGGCGTGCATCCCCGTCGGTCTCGCGAGTTACGAACCGGAGGGCGAAGCACGCTATTGCGGCAGCGTCCAGTTTAGCGTCATTCAAGCGGAAAGCGTAATCTGGGTCGTATTCCCAACCCCTGTTGTCTGTTCCCAACAGCAGAACCTCTGCGAGGCCTTTGTAAATGGTACGCATCGTGTCCGCCTCGCCGCTCCCGCTGTCCTCGCTGCTGGAGTCACTGCTCATGCGCGCTGAGATGATCAAGGTTTTGTAACGCGAGCTGTGCCACAGTGAAATGGAACTAGCCGAGGGCGTGCTTCCGTACCAGCTACCACACTGCACACAGCACACACATTCGTATCTGAGATCGTAGAGCAGGGCAGACCCGGGGACTGGGGAGCCGGAGCAGACGGCATCGGCCGCCGAGGGAACGTTGGGAAGAGGCACGAGGAGGGCGGCGACCTCGACCGACGACTATGGAGGACCCGTCGCCAGACGACGCAGGGCAGAAGACGGTGAGCGCGGAGCAGACGCGCAGGGCGAGACGAGGGAGGGAGCAGGAGCCAGGACTTTGCGGAGATCAGCAGGAGGATGTACGAAGAGATTAGGAGCAGCAGGGACCCGAGGGACCATGTGGAAGACGGCTAGTTCCTTTTTACCCATCTCACAGTAGAGAGGTGTCCGTTTTTAATTTTATTTATTTATTTATTTATGGCGGACCTCTCAGTCTCACGCGTCACGGCCTCTCGAAATTGCGGCCAACGAGGGGCACACGCACACAGCTCCAGTGACGCCGCGAAAGTGCAGGCTCGCGGCAGCTAAGCGTCAACGTAGAGAGCGCCGTGGCACACCCCGGGCCTCACATGTCCGCGCGAGCCGCGACCTCGCGGCCCCGCGCCACCCCCGAAAAGCGAGGAGGGGGCCCTTGGCGGGGTCGGGCGCTGGCGCGGAAGGGACGGGGGAGGTGCCGCCCTAGTACTCCTCCTCCTCGCCGTCGCCCTCAGCCGAGTCGGCGCCGACCTCCTCGTAGTCCTTCTCGAGGGCGGCCATGTCCTCGCGCGCCTCGGAGAACTCGCCCTCCTCCATGCCCTCGCCGACGTACCAGTGCACGAAGGCGCGCTTGGCGTACATCAGGTCGAACTTGTGGTCGATGCGCGAGTAGATCTCGGCGATGCAGGTCGTGTTGGACATCATCGTGACGGCGCGCATCACCTTGGCGAGGTCGCCGCCCGGCACGACCGTGGGCGGCTGGTAGTTGACTGCGCGGGGAGGGAGGAGGAGAAGGGGGGGGGGGGGGGGGGCACCTGAAACCGGCTCCCGCTAGGGAGGGGAGGGATAAACGGCTCGGCGGGCAGGGGGATGCGCGCCCTGGTTGGAGGCGGGGGGCGGCAACTCACTGCCGCACTTGAAGCCGGTGGGGCCCCAGTCGACGAACTGGATGGTGCGCTTCGTCTTGATGGTGGCGACCGCCGAGTTGACGTCCTTGGGCACCACGTCGCCGCGGTACATGAGGCAGCACGCCATGTACTTGCCGTGGCGCGGGTCGACCTGAGGGGGGGGGGGGGTCGGTCGGTCGGAGAGAGCGACGGGGCAACGGGAGAGCGCGTGGCGGCAGGTGGCTGTTGGAGGGGCGAGGGCGGGGGGGCGGTCTCCGCCTTGACGAGCATCGATGCGGGCTCGAAGACGGCGTTGGTGATCTCCGAGACGGAGAGCTGCTCGTGGTACGCCTTCTCGGCCGAGATGATTGGCGCAAACGAGGCGATCGCCAGGTGGATGCGCGGGTACGGGACCAGGTTGGTCTGGAACTCGGTGAGGTCGACGTTGAGCGCGCCGTCGAAGCGGAGCGAGGCGGTCATCGACGAGATGATCTGGGCGGTGAGCCGGTTGAGGTTGGTGTACCTGCGGGGGAGATATGGCGAGATATGGGGGAGATATGGCGAGATACGGGGGAGATATGGCGAGACATGGCGAGGCATGGCGAGGCATACGTCGGCCGCTCGATGTCGAGGTTGCGGCGGCAGATGTCGTACAGCGCCTCGTTGTCGACCATGAAGGTGACGTCCGTATGCTCGAGCAGCGTGTGCGTCGAGAGGACGCAGTTGTACGGCTCGACGACGGCGGTCGAGACCTGCGGCGCCGGGTAGATGGTGAAGGAGACCTTGGACTTGCGGCCTGCGACGTGGCAGGGGGGCACGACGGGCAGGTGAGCAATGACCGCGGCTCGTGAGACGCGGCCGACGGTCAACGGGGGGGAGCGGGGGGAGCGCGCGGGCGGCGGAGGCAGGGCGGCGGGTCTTGCGAGCGCGCGGGCGTGTGTCCGCACCGTAGTCGACCGAGAGGCGCTCGAGGAGGAGGGCGCCCAGGCCGGAGCCGGTGCCGCCGCCGATGGCGTTGAAGGCGAAGAAGCCCTGGAGGCCGGTGCAGTTGTCTGCGAGCTTGCGGATGCGGTCGAGGACCAGGTCGACGATCTCCTTGCCAACGGTGTCTGCGCGGCCGGAAGGGGGCGGTGAGGAAGTGGAAGAGCAGATGCGCGCGCGCGAGGGAGGTTAGGGGGCAGGGCGTCGCGGGGGGGGAGCTCACAGTGGCCGCGGGCGTAGTTGTTCGCCGCGTCCTCCTTGCCCGAGATGAGCTGCTCCGGGTGGTAGAGCTGGCGGTACGTGCCCGTGCGGACCTCATCTGTAGGGGCAGAGGAGGCGGAGGGGCTTGTGAGCTCAAGCCGCGCGATGCGCATCACGCGCGCATTGCAGCAGGGCGCGCGAATTGGAGGCGACGCGGGGAGCGGTGCGCGCGCGGCGGGGGGAGGGGCGGGACGCGCCGATGACGGTCGGCTCGAGGTCGATGAAGACGGTGCGCGGGACGTGCTTGCCCGACCCCGTCTCGGAGAAGAAGGTGTTGAACGCGTCGTCACCGCCGCCAATCGTCTTGTCGGACGGCATCTGGCCGTCGGGCTGGATGCCGTGCTCGAGGCAGAAGAGCTGCGCAAGGGGGGTGTGGGGCAAGTGACGGAGGCGGCGGTGGTGGCGACGGAGGCGGGGGCGAGGGCGGCGGGGGCGAGGGCGGCGGCGGCGAGGGCGGCGGCGGCTGGGAGGGGAGCGGGCTGGGAGGGGGCGGCGGCCCCGCATGCACCTCCCAGCAGGCGTTGCCGGTCTGGACGCCGGCCTGGCCGAGGTGGAGGGTGATGCACTCGCGCTGCGGACACACGGAGGGAGGGAGGCCGTCAGTTGCGGTCGGGGCGCGCGGGGCACGCCGGCGCGCGCAGCGGGGCGCGGGGTGGGTGGTGCGGGGAGGGGCGTAGCGCGGTGTGGGGCGCCGGGGCGCGCGTGAGTCACACCATTTTTATCGTTGGGAGTTGGGAGAGCGCTGGCTGGCTTCCTCCCGCTTGAATTTCAGTGTGAAACGCACCACCCGGCGCGAGGCCACGACGCTACAGGCGCGGGCGCGGGGGTGGAGGGTGCGCATGAGGCGGAGATGATGGAGGCGCTCGCCGCGTGCGGCGATTGAGCGCCTCTCTCTCTCTCCGGCTGCGCGCCTGACCGGTGCAGCCTCCGAGTCGGCGTCTAGCGCGCGCGATAAGGTTTTTGCTCGCCTTCCCTGGACCCCGTGTTGCGTGACTGTCTCTCTGCGATTTCGGGCCCGGGGTTGTGCGTTTATGTGAACAGACCAGCGCATAGCGCCATAGGACGTATTTCTTGTCAATAATTTTCTTGTCAATAAACAAGCAAGGCTGTGAAGAGTTTGTGGTTTGGGTCCGGGGTTGTGTTTTTGTGTGAAGAGTTTAGACAGCAACTTGAGAGCACTTGAGCACTGGAGAGAGAGGGTCGATTCCGCCCTCCCTCCTGCAACTGGGAATAACCTCTAGAGATGCTTTTATTTGAGCGTTTGCTTTTCCAGTGTTCGCCTTGCGATCTAGCAACCTATTTATTTATTAATTATTATTTGCTCGAGGCTATTCACACGTTGACCCTTGCATCACAGATGACACGTCCTTACTTAATTATTAATTGGTCGAGGCTCTTCACACGTCGCTCGTCGGCCCTTCACAGCCTTGTTATTGACAAGAAAATACGTCCTATGGGTATGGCGCTGTGCGCTGGTCTATGAGAGGTTGAGGTGCGAGCCCTGGAGGCCCTGGGGATGGGGGGAGACCACCTTCACAGAGGACGCGTCCTCACGTATATTTGTTAATTGCTCAAGGCTGCTCGGACGTCGGCTGTTCACGCATCACGGATGACACGTGAGCACTTGAGCACTGAATAGGGTCGATTCCGCGTGGTACGGGACCCCTCGATCGTCTCGCCCTCCCTCACTGGCGTGTTCATTGGGGGGGGTCATAACAAACACGGTACAGGATCGAGGCAAGCCCATTCATGATTACAATGAATAACTCAACTCATCCTTTGGCAGCTTGTATTGTTGAGTATGAGTAGTCATGACGTCTGGTATCCATGAATATGAATAGTCACGTCTGCCTGTACTCATGAATATGAATAATGTATTCAAATACAAGTGCGTGAGCAACTTGCAGGTAAAACCCGGGTATACCCGCAAAAGTCCAGGTATCTTACCTTATATTTCCCCGTGTCCTGTTTTCCGTTTCAGCGGAGTCTGGCCGCCACCCAGCACGATCTGTGTATGGTGCCCCTCGGCATGGCGGAGGCGACTGTCGTCGCCGACCTGCTCCGGGACGGCCTTCTCGATGTGACCTCAAGCCTAGATGCGCCGTAGCCTTGCCTGATCTCGGCTTTCTCGCGCTAGAGAGCTCTCATGAGCCTAGATGCGACGCTCTGCAACACAGAGCTCTAGCACTTGCGGCACCCGCAAGACGAATTGCCGCGCAGCACTGGCTTAGTTGCTCGACCGACGAGGCGCAGGTGGCAAACTATCTGAGCGATGGAGACAAGGAGGATTACGCCGCCCAAGTTATCATCACGTACACAGACTCCCAACCGTGCACCTCGCCTCCTGCCCCCCCGCCACCCCCACCGCCTTCACCGCCGCCCTCGCCACCCAGCCCGCCGCCGCCACCGTCGCCCCCGCCCTCGCCGCCCTCTCCGCCCGCGCCGCCATCGCCGCCGCCCTACCCGCCCCTGCCGCCAGCTCCCCCAAACCCACCACCGCCTTCGCCCATCTCCCCGTCGCCGCCATCCAGCCCCTCGCCGCCCCCTGCGCCGCCCTCCCCTCCGTCGCCGCCTTCACCGCCGCCACCGCCACCCAAGCCGCCGCCGCCGCCGTCGCCGCCGCCCTCACCGCCCTCTCCGCCCGCGCCGCCATCGCTGCCGCCCCACCCGCCCCTGCCGCCAGCTCCGCCAAATCTACCACCGCCTTCCCCTGTTCCACCGTCGTCGCCGGCGCCGCCCTCGCCGCCCCCTGCGCCGCCCTCCCCACCCGCGCCGCCCACGCCACCACCGCCACCACCCAGTCCGCCGCCGTCGCCCTCGCCGCCGCCGTTGCCGCCCTCTCCACCCGCACCACCGGGGCCTCCTCCATTGCCCCCACTGCCACCGCCACCGCCGGCACCACCCTCGCCCGAGCCCTTGCCACCGCTACCTCCCGAGCCGCCCCCTGCGCCGCCCTCCCCACCGGCACCGCCCGCGCCACCACCGCCGCCCCCCTCGCCGCCGCCGCCGCCCTCGCCGCCACCATCGCCGCCGCTGCCGCCCGCACCACCTCAGCCCCCGCCCTCGCCGCCCCAGCTACCAGCTCCGCCCGCTACACCTCCGTCGCCGCCAGCCCCTCCGTCCCCCCCTCCGCCACCTCCCGCGGCGCCTCCACCGGGGGGCGGGATTTTGGGGGGCGGGGATGTACATTGGCATTGTGAAGGCAACGATTGGTGTGCGCGTCGAAAAGGTGTCTCCGCTCAACACTGCAACTACTTGGTCCCGAACTCCCTTCAGATCCCCGACAGCGCTCAAGTCAGGTTCTTTGTCAACGGCGGGCTCCGCCGGACGACCCGCCTGAACTGCGGCTGGAAAAACGGACAAAACTGCAGAGACTATAATGGGGTGCCTATGTGCGAATACAAGGTGTATTGGGACGGCTGTGGGAAAAAAGAGTGCCACGGCGACGAGATCGTGTACGGCGACCGGGATCAAAAGTGGTGTGATCTCTACATCGACAACGTGGTGGCGATTGCTGGCCACCACGGTGGAATTTACTTCGGCCAATCGTGTGGGTGAGCGACACGACAGGAACAATCGATTCTTGTCATGCGGAGGCTGCCGCAGCACCGACGCTTGCTTTGACCAGTGCAGTGGAGGAGACTGCGTCGGGGTTGAGTACAACCCCAGAACTAGGGATTGCTGCCCGACGAGGGCTGTTTGGGGACACTGGGCTTCGTTAGAACTCACCTTAACTTAGCTTCTTTCCTATGCCCAGTGTCGTGCGAGGGAGTTTTGTTGTAAAATTCTTTCCTACACCAGGCGCAGCGGCGCTTCACGACCGAAATAGTTGAATAGACACCACAGAAATACGCACACCGGCGCCCGAAGTGCCAAGAAGGACGTCATTAGTACGAAACCTCAAACAAGGCCATGGCCGCCGTGAGTACACTCGCCCGAGAGCATCGAAAAAAGCACAACCGAACCTCCTTCCCAGGTTACCCCTGCCATATGTCGCCGGCCCGTGCACGGGACATGCTATCTTGTGTAAGCAAGGCAGGCAGGGGAGGGGGGCAGTCCCACCGGTCCGTTACTGGTGTGTGGGTGTCTCTAGCGTCGGAGGCAAGGGCAAAGCTAAGAATATTTAATTTTTTTCATTAACCGAGTGAGCATCTCTGACTCTCCATACAGTAGAACGCTCAAACAAGATGCAATCTAAACTCGATGAGACAAAAAAAGCACAGACGTCAGGCAGGCGCTCATCGTGGACTCGCATAATTATTGGGACCCGATTCTCAGGAACCCGTTCGCCGCGCGGTTGCACGTCGGGCAGCGCGTGTGCTTGGCCGACCACGTCTCCGCGCACGCGTAGCACGTGGAGCTGCGCGTGCGAACAAACGAGATGAGTCAGGAGGAGTTTGCACGGGAGGGTGTGGAACGGGAGGTGGCGGGGTTTGTGAGCCTCGCGCCTGTGCCGGCACGGCAAGAATTGAGCCCACGGCCTGCTCGCGCTCCACTCCGCCTCGCACAAGGTGCAAGCGCACGGACGGCACGTTCGGGTCGGGAGGACCTGCCACTCCTCAGCCCGCCTCTCGATGCAGAGGAGCAGGTCGAGCCGCAGGTAGTGCAGGTCGAAGAAGGAGCAGTGGTCCCTGCAGGGGGAGAGGTGAGGGATAAGCGGAGGGCATGGGAGCGTTATCGAGCCGAAACCTGGGTCGACCTCAGTCGACCTCCGTACTGCTGTGTGTTCGGAGGAGGGACGATCTCGGCGATCTCGGGCGATCTCGGGCGATCTCGGGTGCGACATCCCCCCCCCCTCTCTACCTCACACAGGCAATCGTCGCCTGCCCGCCGTTCCCGAGGGGGCGCGAGGAGGCGACGTTGCCGCCACCGTGGTGGCATTCTGTGCGGAGGCGGAGGCAAGGCGCGCGCGGCAAGGTGATCTCAGGTGGTACGGGGCTGATACTCTCGCGGAAGGACGCAGTCCGACAGAGAAGGTGCCCCCCCCGGCGCAGGGGCGAGGGCGCGGAGTGGGCAGGCGCGCGCGCGGCGAGGCGTACCATGCGAGGCGCGTCGACTCGGTGCAGCTACCCGGAGCCTTGAGCAGCTCCACGAGGCCGGCGGTGTCCGTGCGTAGCACGCTGTGGGCGAGGCCGGCCGCTCGCTCCAAGACGGCGTCTGCTGCGCCACACGCGTGGAGGCCGTCCAGAAAGGCGCTCTCCACCGCGTCCACGAAATCGGGGCGGTCCACCAAGAAGAGCACGAGCTGCGCAATGTTGTGGTCGGTAAAGATGTCGACGAGCGTGGCTATCATACCGCGCTCTCCCGGAATACTAAAGATGGTGTGCTTATCGTCGCGCACGGCTTTCGGTAGCTTAGGACGGGTTGTCGACGGCGACGCGCGTGCAACCTCATAGTAGCGGATCAGCTCCTCCTTTGCGGCCCACGCTTCGTCAGTACGGAGCGCTTTGTCGGGCGTGACCTTGTCTCTCGCGCGAGCGTTGGCGACGGGAGAGCCGATGCCGAGCTCCGCACCGCGGGAAGCTCTCCTTGACGGGAGCCCTGACATTAAGGGTTGCTACAGTTGCTTCCAGTGAGATGATGTCCCGCTGGCAAGTGACCGCCGGCCATCGGCAATGGAGTGAGGTATTCACAGTGCTTATGCCTAGCTGCCTCTAGATCTACCTACTTACAAATGCGCGCAAGCAATGTGCGACGGTAGCCGGAAGGCGCGTGATACACACAAGAGTGTGGGAACACAACGGAAATCGGGTACGGTAGATGCACCTCGAAAGTCACGCCGAAGCTGGTCCATTTACTGCAACAGGTCGAAAGTAGTAGAAAGAAACCGCGGAGCCCACGCGTCAAGTACGTGGACAAGTCGAGAGAAGGAAATTATACGGGACGTGGGCAAAACTTGCAAAAAGAGGAAACCCCCTATTCCGCGTCGCCCAGGCTCGACTCGCCCTCGGCCCAGCCAGAAAGAAAATATTCGACAAACAGCGACGCGACGGCGCGCGGCGACTCCGTTGCCACGCTGAGCTCAGCGGGCAGCGCCCAGCCGCAGTGCAGCTGGGCCTCGCGCAAAATGGCGGCCACAAGCTCCTCCTGCTCCTCCTCGTCCTCCACGCCACTCAACGCTGCCAGAACCAGTGTCGCATCGACGAGGAGCGAAGAGCTCTCCTCTGGGATCTTGGCGCGCGGGTTCATGTTGCCCTTCCCGTCCAACCACCAGCGCCAAAACTCGACGGCGACGCCGGCATTATCGTTGCTGCTGCTGCCCGCGCCGCCACCGACGGCACCGGCGAGGCTGCCCGCGCCGCCACCGACGGCACGGGCGAGTGAGCCGATCCGAGACCGCAGCGGCGAGGCAAACGCGTAGCGGTCGCGGCCGGGCAGCGGCCGCACGGCAAATCGGCGGCTCGCCCAGCGACAAAAGCCCACGGTCGAGCCGTCAAAGGCCGCCGCCGCCCGAAGCACAATCTCCGTCGCAGTGGCGGCGCCGGCCGATGCCGTGTCGATTTTTTCGAGAGCGGTCGTGATCAGCGGCGAGGTGACGGACGCGCCCAGCGCCCGCAAGACGGCGGTGAGGTGGAGGCGCATGTTTAGGCTGCCGCCCTCGGCCTCGAGCACAATCACCATGAACCCCTCGAGCGCGTCGACGGACGCGCCGTTGATGACAGCAGGCTGGAAGCCCACGTCGTTCATGAGCCACTCACGCGCCACCTCAATGGTGACGGGCGCCCACCCAAGCGTGAGCGGCCCGTTGCGCGCGGCGAGCGCGCAGACGGCCGAGCGCGTTGTCGTCCCCGGCAGCAAGGCGTGCCGTGCCTAGAGAAGGAGCAGAGGGCGTCTGGAAACGATTTGATGACCGGATGCTCTTTGTCTCGCGCACCTCCCGCGCGAGCTCCGGTTCTGTCGCCGAGAGCAGCTCCTCGTCCGACCACTCTCGGCTGGCAGCGCGCCGCAGCTGCTCGAGCAACGTGAGTAGCACGGTAATGTCGCGCCTCTCCTCGTAGACGCGGCCCCGAGGAAAGGTCGTGCGGCGCCGCCGTCTCCGCGCCTGCCCGGCATACGGCAGCAGGCCGTCCGCCAGCATCACGTAGAGCAGGTCGAGGTCCGTGTCGTCGGCGGCCTGGTGCACGTGCCGCGTGCGCACGCGGCGCAGCAGGTTGCTCAGCAGAGGCCGGCTGCTGAGCTGCGCCGCGTGGAGGCCGAGGAAGGCGCGAGGCGTTGGCTTGAGCTTGTTGTCTTCGCCGATAAGGTGAATCTCGAGCGCGCCGTCGTCGCTGCAGCCGACCAGTCCCGTCTCGACGGTATGAGGCGGGCGCGAGCCGCCTTGCACCAGCTGCACGAGAGCGCGGTGTAAGCGCTCGTCCGCTGCTTTTGACACCACCTGGTCGCCGCCGCTAAGGCGCGCGCCTATCCAGGTGCGTAGCACGCTGCGCAGCGCCTCAGGAAACTTGCCCAGATACTCTGCCAACCCAGCGAGTAGCGCCTGCGCCTTGGCAGCGTCCTCGTCCGTTCCGCCGTCAGAGGACGCGGCTGCCGCATCAGGCTGGGAGCCACTGCATGCTTCGATAGCGGCCGCGGCCTGCTCGAAGAAGTTACCGGCCGACCCGTCCGATGCCAACAGCGGCTCAGTGGTGAGGTTGAGCTGCGAGAAGCGCGTGCGAGCGCTTGTTGCGTTCTCCATGGCCCGGGGGTATTCACAGCCTTGTGTGAGAAGAAAAAACGTGCTTTGGCGCTGTGCGCTGGTCTGTGAGACTGCCAGCGACAAGCTGGAGGCAGGTCGCTAGACTGAGATGAGACCGCCAGTGGATGTGGGAGTCCACCGCGCACCGCGCTGCGAGCCTGTCGTGTCCCTTGTCAGGAGCAGGAGAGCCCCACCTGTCCCCCTGATCGTCCTTCCAAAATCCTGCTCGTGTAGGTGGGGACCCTGTCCTCGTCCCATCCCTCGTTTGCGTGTCTGTTTTCTTTCTTTCTTTGGTCTGTGAGAGGTTCACACAAGCGTCCGGGTCAAGCCATTTTCACGTAAGTACACACAAAAACAGAAAACACAGAAAGTCATTCACAACATGACGACTCAAATTTGAAGGTGACAAGACACGGCACTGGCGCGCACTCCAGTCCGTGTGTGTGAGTGTGTACTCGCCGACGCCGCGGCGCTCCCGTTTGGCAACCTTCTCGTGCAGCTCGACGAGCTCCGCGGCGGTCTGGCTCGCCACAGCTCGCGCTCGCTGCTGGGCGGCGGCGGCTTCCACCTGATGCGCTACCCGCCCGGCGCAAAGTTCATGCGCCACCGCGACGAGGAGCCGGCGCCTAGACGACGGAGTACCAGACCCTCGTGCCCGAGCCCCTTAGCGTGATTTGCGCGTCTGTGCTGACGAGAGTGCGGGAGCTGCTGCCTTTGTGCTGCACAGAGATTACGTCAGCGGTGGCAGTGCTGCTTGGGCACACAACAGTCACCTCGGGTAGACGTGTTGCGTTCGGCTGTGCTCGACGGTACTCGCTGTACTCGCAGCCCTTGGACTCACCGCGGGGCTCCGTCCCCTGTGCTCCCGCTCTAGGAGCCGGCGATGTCGGAGCCTCGGCGCAACTCGATCAGCTTTCTGCTCTACCTGACGCCGGACGACTGGAGCGCCGCCGACGGCGGCTCGCTCGTCGTCTACGACGCGAGCGCCGCGCCGCGCGAGCTGCCTCCCACCGCCGGCTCTCTGGTCATCTACGACTCGACGATTGAGCATGAGGTGCAGGCGACGCGCCGCGAGCGGCACCTCATCTCCGGCCGCTTCCGGGAGAGCGACGCGGACTGGTCGAGGCGGCGGCAGGAGGAGGCAGAGGCGCGGCGGGGATCGATACGGTAGAGGGAGTGAAATCGGGCTTCGGGGGGGGGGAACACAAAATAAACATCGTTTTTTGTCAATGGAAACGGCCGCCGGTCTCGCATTAGTTTACGCTGGCCGCGCGCGCACTGCCACACTCTGGCAACTAAAGTGCAGCTGCGCAGGCATTCCCTCGCGTCAGACGTCACTGCGCGTGGCACGGTTGGCCCCTGAGGCGCGCTCTCGATGCCCAACACCGCGGCGCGCGCGCGCCGCGGAAGCTGGACATCAAGCTGCGGCATGGGCGTGCTCTGCTGCGTTCGGCGGCGAATCTGGCCCTTTTTGATCAAACTCGGCGCTCGGCGGATTACGTCGAAAGGTCCTTCACAATTCTTTTTTCTTTCGCAGGGACTCGAGCCAACACCCATCGACCGGTGGTACTTGCTGGCACAGAAATCCCGCGAGGGTGGTGTCTGCTCCCACCCGTCAAACCTCCTTTCCTCTTCTCTTCCTCTCCCCTTCTCGCGGCGCGCCTTTCCTTGGCGCTCCCGTTCGCCACACCGCCCTCGCCCACGCCCCCCCCTCCGCTGCCCTCCGACCATACGTCGGAAAGTACCGCGGCGCAAGGTCAGGCGCTGGCTGAACTCCCGTGGCGCGAGGTCAGACGATCCCGAAACGGCTTGGCGCGAGGCTCGAGGCAGTCGCAGTCGGGCGTGGCCGCCCCGATGGCCAGCAGCTCGAAGACGCATTGCATCTTGTTGGTCCGATCCTCCTTGCAGCCGGGCACGATGTTCTTCCAGCGCAGCCCCCACTTCTTGGTGAGCTTCCGATGGGCGCGCTGCTCGCCGCCACGCCGCCCTCCCGCCGGCCAATCGTCGAACCCCACCAGCGTGCCGACGACAATGAGCTTGTTTGTGAGCATGTAATCGAGTGCCTGTGCCAAGAGAGTGGGAAGCAATATGCATCACAAGATCACATGCAGTAGCAACGCGCGAAACAACAGATTCAGATCACATACGTGTAGCGCAGCCACATCGGGGTACATCGGGGCGTGGGGCGCGAGAGATATGTGTTTTGTGTAATGTGCATCGTTCGACTCTCCCCCTGTGCGCGCTGCACGCCTGCATCGTTGAGATGTAAAGATCGACATCGATGTCGACGAAGAGGGCAGGGCGCAGAACGGGGGCGAGGGCCTTGGTGAGCGACTCGTTGAAGTAGCCGCGGATGAAGCGCACGTGCGTGTCGTCGACGTAGCGCTTGATGCGCCGCTCCAGAGAGCTGAAATCGTAGACCTGTGAGAGGTGTGAGCCTGTGAGGCGCGGCATGTGCGTGAGTGAGTTTTAGTCATGAAGCTATGTGTCGCACCTTGAACATGTCGGCCGCGTTGAAGGTGCCCGCCTGCCATTCGCCTTTGCTGTGCGAGCTGCGCTGCTCGCTTGCGTCCTCCTCCGGTAGCCCCTGGAACGAGTCGCAGCCCCAGAACGTGTGGTAGCGCACGTTCTTCGCACGCAGCGCTTGCGTCGTGCCCTTGAGGCTGCGTCCCGTGTATACGCCAAACTGGTACATGTCGCGCCTCGCGCAGTGCGAATGCAGCTCGCTGTCGCGGGCCATGCAGCGCTCAGCGATGCGCTCCACCGCCCATTTGTGCCATCCGTAGGTCCCATTCTTAGGCAGCGCAAAGCCGCGGCCGCTCGAACGCGGGCCAACGGAGCCGTCCGTACGCTTCGTATCGTCTGGCGTCCATCCCGTCGACTTGAGCTGGCCCGCGTTCGCGTTGGGCAGGAACACCGACTCGAGGTGCTCAGAGATGCCGCCCGAGCCGTGCGAGGAGAGCGCAAAGGCCGAGAGGCCCAGACCGACCACCACGGTGACGATGACGCACAGCAGCTTGGACGAGCAGAACTTGCCCCCCTTGGACGAGCCAAACATGCCAAAGCCGGAGCGCGCGCCAAAGCCGGAGCGCGTCGAGGTCGGCTCGGTCTTCTCCCCGCGGCGCCGCCCTGACAGTGCGGACGAGGGTTTGTCACGAGCAGGCAGGGTGCGCTGAACGGGCAAGGCGCTACGCGCCGAGGGCGTCGTCGACGACGGCGGGGCGTCGTCGGTAGACGCCTTGCCGGAGCCGACGCCAGCGAGGTCTTCCTCGTCGACGTCCGTTCCGAGTAGCGCCGCGAACCCGTTGGGGTCGACGCGGCCGATCGGGGTGGGGTTCTTGGTGGTCTTCTTGGAGCGGTCGATCAGGTTGGGCTCGCCCTTGCGCTCGATCTTGCGGAGCGGGGAGGGGGTCTTCCACCCGTCGATGCCCTGCGCGCGCGTGACGTGCGGCAGACGAGAGGTCACAGGGTCAATGTAAGTGCCCGCCTGTTGGACTCGCGTGTCCCCGCAATACCCGCGGGTGCTTCTGCTGGGAGGTGCTCACCGTCGGGGCGGCCGTCTCCTCTGGAAACTCCTTGTTCGAAACGTTCCAGTCGCCCTACGCGTCGAATGCGGGATGGGGTCACAGAGTGGGCCGGCAGACGCCGGCGCGAACAATGCCAGGCGCTCGCCGCCGGGGCGGCGGGCTTCTTCTCCGGAAAGTCCTTGATCGACGGCAGCGGCGCGCCGCCGGCCGCCGCCGGCTTGAGGGCCGTGGCGACCTTGGTGGCCGGCTTGAGCGCCGGGTCGTTCTTGATGACGCCGGTCTCGTCAAAGGAGGCCTCCGTGCCAGACTTGGCCGCAGCCTTCTTGAGGGCGCCGGTGGGGGCTGTCGGTGGGCCGGTCGGGCGCGGAAACTTGGACCAGAAAACGGCGGTCGGGCGCGGCGCGTGGGTGGCGAACATGGCCTTGGCCTTGTCCGAGTCGACCGGGCCCGCGTCGGGCGCCTTTTCCGCGGCCGGGTCCTTCTTGAGAACGTCCTCCGTGCCAGACTTTGCCATTGGGATGTCCTTGACGGTGTTGACGCCGCAGCCTGTGGGCGAGGGAGAGTACGCGCAGGCTTTCGGAGACGGGAGAGGGATGATCACAATCCTGGCGTGCGCACGCGCACCTTGGCTCCGAGGAGCGAAGGCGACACCGACTCGGAGATGACGATCGTGATGCGGCCGTCGTCAGCCGGCACGATTCCGACCTTCGCGAAGGACTTCATCGGCGAAGACTCGCCCGCGACGTTGCCGCCGCCCGCGTCAATGCCGTCCTTGAGCGGGCTGGGCTCGCTCTCGGGCGGGATGCCGACGGCCTTGGCCTTGGCCTTGGCCGAGTCGACCGTGCCCGCGGCGGGCGCCTCTGCCGAAGGGTCTTTCTTGATGATGCTCTCGTCGGAGGCCTCCGCGCCAGACTTTGCGGGGACGTCCTTCACGAGGGCGTTCTTGGCGCCGCACGCCTGTGGGCCAGGGACGATACGGCGGCGTTGGGACGGGAAGATCGCGCTGATAGGATGAACACGCGCATAGACAGGCACCTCGGCTCCCAGGAGCGAAGGGGATTCCGACGCAAACGAGAGGACGATTGTGACTCGGCCTCCGTCGCCAACCGGCACGAAGCCGACCTTCGCTTTGTAGTCGATGTTGTCCATGATCGAGTTGTCCTGTGCCAGTCGCATCATCATGAAAGTTGAGACGGGGCGCTTGCATTGGATGTGCACAAACAGCTACGTTCGCTTTGTGGGGGTGTACGGGGTCTGAAATGAGAGGGATGGGGGACGGGGGACAAAGTCAATCAGCCTGCGGGGCGGGGGGGGGGGGGGAAGCGGGCTCAAGATGCTTGGACACGCGCGGCAGCTGGCTGGCAGAGGAGAGGGACGGCAGACGCTCGGCGACGAAGGGCTGATGGACGTAACTGACGGCAGAGAAGGCGGTGTGGCAGAGGAGCAGGCGGACAGGCGGAGGCGGCGGTCCCTCAAGGGCGGCGGCGGCGGCGGAGAGTGGCGGGGGGCAGCGGAGGGCGGCGGCGGTGAGGACTGCAGAGGCGGAGAAGCGGCGGCGGGGGCACGGGCGGCGGCGGGGCGCAAGCGGCTGCAGCGGTGGCGGTGAGGAGGGAGGGGGAGGGCGGCGACGGCGAGCGCGGCGGCAAGGGCGGCGGCGGAGCCGGTGGTGGCGGCGAGGGCGGGGGCGAGGGCGGCGGCGACGCGAGGGCGGCGGCGGCGAGGGCGGCGGTGACGGCGGCGGCTGGTAGAACCAGCTCTCGAACTCGTTGCTGAAGCCGCACGCACGGCACGAGGAGTGCAGGGTGGCGCCCACCACGTACGCGGCCGTGCTGTACTCGGTGTTGCACGCGGCCGCGGGTCGGCGTAGCACCACTCGTGCTCGCACCAGCCGGGGTAGCCGGTCGAGTTGCAGGACGGCTCGAGCCCGCTGTCGTGCGGGTCGCACCCGTGGAGGCCGTACGTGCTGGGGTACGCGAGGCTCACGCCGTCCGCCGCGACGACCTGCACCTCGCCGCTCACGAGGCTGACGTCGGCCGGGTAAGCGGTGAGGCACGGGCGGCGAGGGCGGCGGCGGCGACGGCGGCGGCGACGGCGACGGCGGCGACGGCGACGGCGGCGGCGGCGGCGGCGGCGGCGGGGGTGGGGCGGTAAGGGCGAGGACGAGGGCGCCGCGGAGAGAGCGAGGGCGCCGCGGCGAGTTTGGCGGCGGAGAGAGCGAGGAGGACAGCGTGACGGCGCGGCGACAGCGAGGGCAGACTGAGATGGCGGCAGTGGTGGGGGCCGCGGCGATAGTGGCGGCGGCGCGAGCGACGGCGAGGATGGCGGCGGGCTGGGCGGGGGCGGTGAGGGTGGAGGCGGCGACGGCGGCGGAGGCGACGGCGGCGGCGGCGAGGGCGGCGGCGGCGAGGGCGGCGGAGGCGAAGGCGGTGGCGGTGAGGGCGGCGGCGAAGAGGGAGGTGGCGGCGACGGAGGCGGCGGGCTGGGTGGTGGGGGCGAAGGCGGCGGCGGGCTGGGCGCTGGTGGCGAGGGCGGCGGCGGGCTGGGCGGCGTCGGGCACGGCGGCGTCCGTGACGGCGGCGG